GAACACGAGCTGCTTAACGAGCCGAACACGAGCTGTTCACGAACAACGAGCCAAATTGACAGCCCTAGTTGGAGGAGGGAGGCTAAGGGTTTATTTGGGGCATCTGCAGTTTATCCAACTTATCCAAATAAACTGTTGATTAACAGTTGATCAGGATAAGCTGACTGGTTGTTTGGTTTGTGAGTTTGGAAAACAACTTATTTGTAGCTGTTTCTGGATAAATGACCATTCTGCCCCTGTCTGGATAAGCTGTCTAGCTGTTTGATTTGTGCGTTTGTGAAACAACTGATTCTCTATTCACTTCGGCAACCGGGGGGGGCAATTACATACACACTATCCAATTCCTACATAGTTATAAATCTAACACCTAAATTTATTTTTTGCATTTATATCATCGAAATCTTTCATTCAACTACCTCTAGGATTCATCCAGGATATAAATTATAAAGGGAACGTAATTACTATAACAATAGAGCATCAATTTGCAGATAAGTATTTCAAAGTGCTAAGCCATGTGCCAGCAAAGTCAAGGGTTTTCCATGAGAAGAACTATAATGTTGTACATGAATCGATGTGGATTCGGCGAGCGAAAAATAGGAATCAACATCCAGCATCAAATTATGTATAAAAAAAAACAAATTACTCATCAATTAGTTCACTATAGTTTCTAGCTAGAATACCTTGAAAGGAGGAAGTCCTAAGCAATCTCTCAATGAGTTTTCGATCAATGATGCTGTCATCCACTGCTAAGACATGGAAATTACATACACACCACCCAATTCCTACATAGTTATAAATCTAACACCTAAATTTACTTTTTATATTTATACCATCCAAATCTTTCATTTCAACTACCTCCAGGATTCATCCAGGATATAAATTATAAAGGCAAACTTAATTATTATAACAACAGAGCATCAATTTGCAGATCAGTATTCCAAAGTGCTAAGCCATGTGCCAGCAAAGTCAAGGGTTTTCCATGAGAAGAATTGTAATGTTGTACATGAATCAATGTGGATTCGGCGAGCAAAAAACATGAATCAACATCAAAGTATCAAATTATATACAAAAACAGAAGATAACAAATCAATAAACAAATTACTCATCAATTAATTCACTATAGTTTCTAGCTAGAATACCTTGAAAGGAGGAAGTCCTAAGCAATCTCTCAATGAGTTTTTGATCAATGATGTTGTCATCTGCTGCGAAGACATGGAACTCCGTCTCCGTAGCTACGGCTATAATATCCTGCTCAGATCAAACAACCGAAGAAAAGAAATTGAATTGAAACCGAGAAGAACAAGTTGGTGCAGATTTGGGGGCTTACTTGATTTTCCTCTCCGTTTTCTCAGCCGACTTGTTCCTTTCCCCTCAAATCCTCAGCCGATTTGGGGGCTTACTTGATTTTCCAAAGACTACTTGTTCATGTCCAACTTTCCCTTCTCGGTTGCTGGGTGGCCGAAGCATCTGTCTATTTATCAGATGGCAAAACAAAAAATAAAAATAAAAATAAAATATGCCGAAGAAGAAATGCCAAGGAAGAAAAGAAGCAAAATGAAGAGGGAGGAGCGACTACCGAAGAAGAGGGAGGAGCGGCTTGGCAGAGGATGCAAACGATGGGCACGACATATGTGAACAAGGGCAACGGAGTAATAGGGCGCGTACGAAACACGAATTGCGGGCATGCTCCCGCGGACGGCGTGATTCACAAATACAAAACGTTGTTTTTGGATAAACTAGTGAAACGCGCAAAACAAACTGTATGACGGCATTTTCAAAATGCCACTCGCAGTCATAAGCTGCCCCATACAGCCCTAATTCTAGTTTTGGCCAATGGATTCAAGTGACGTTTACCATTTATTCTCTCTCTAGCTCTCCATTTATTTATTCTTCACATTTGTTTTTGCATTGCAGTTTTTTGAAATGTATAAATAATATTAATTTGAACTTTGTGCCGTTATATTATCTTATCTTATCATTTTGTTTATCATATATGTTTTTATGTGCATAAGTAATGAATTTATATATTTATTTATGTTTAGGGTTGAATTGCAGAAATTGTTAATATCTGTGAAATAAGTTTTGATTTTAAATGTTCTTTTTAAATTTATGCCTTTTGAATGAGCCTTTCCAGATTGTTATCGATCTTTTTAATTTTTTACGCTATATATGCCTTTTTATATTTTCTTTCTTCTCTCTATTTTTTTTTTCTTCCTTATGTGACCATGGCAAACACCTTGCCTCATGCCCTCATAACTCAGCCCTTGACAGCTTTCACATTAATAAATAATGGCATTACATTCATACCACACAATTCTTATGCATTTACATATGCAACACCTATACTTTACTTTTTACATATATACCACCTAAATCTTTCATATCTTATAAAAAAATATCGCCATTTTTAATTTTTAAAAAGTGAAATACACCTTTTCATGCATAGGTAAGATGTCATATATGTGAAAATTGAAGTTTAGGTATTAGCTATATAAATACGTACGAATTAAGTGGTATGTATGTAAATCTTCCTAATAAGTATCTTTGCAAGTACATATCAGTTTTCTTGATTCATATCCATAGAAAAGTTCCTTTCTTATATGCTTCTACTTCTCCAAGCTGTTGTAGTTAGTAATACTGGTAATTTTTGTGTTAATTATATCCTTCAACACTATTAACTAAACAGAATGCTCTTGATTTTATATTGAAATTATGCATTGCTGTATATCTTTTCATCTGCTTATGTTATATTTCTGCTTTGATCCATGAATATTTTAAAAATTGCAGGAGAAACAGTGACCATTGTTGGTGATCATGATCCTGTACTTTTGAAATACTTTGATTGCACACGCTCTTCTTATCGCTCAGCCTTTGATAGCAATGTTGTATACCAATTTGAAATAATGGAATATGTAAGCAGCAGGCGAGATCTCTTTTTGAATGTGTATTAGTTTCTAGTTCGATGATAGTCATTTATATACTCTTCATTATGACTAGACATGGTTAAGCAAGCTCAGCTAGGCTTTATGAAATTTTTTCAGAAGCGCTAGTTGTCTCAGTTATCTTTTTTTCTAATGTATTATTTTACTATATTTTCATTGCCACATGCTCTTATGCATATAGAACTTAACATTCTTCCAATTTAGTGGAAGGAATTTCTCCATCATTTAGGTATCACTATGATATGACAAATATAATTCCTCGGTTTTTCATTTTTTTCTTGTTTGTTCTCGTATCAATTAGCTCTTTTCTGTAAGTATTATCTACATCTATTTTTTACCTTATTTTTCATAAAGTGTTCTTACGCAAAAAATCATCTTAATACATGTAGGTCCTTGACTATGGTTTCGAGCGGTTGGGGGTTGAAGGTTCGCAGGTAAGGATTAGACAAACTATGTCAATGTTGTTATCGATAATGTCATTATGAACAACACAAGTAGTTTCTTTATAAATGGGTGCAGAAGGTACATAAAGTATATATGTGCTTCAAAAAATATTTTTGGCTAAATAAATCCTTTTTTATTCGAGATTTATTTCCTTAATAAAGTTGAAGGGTTGAAGAGTTCCATAAGTGGCTATGACCTTGTGCAAGCACAAGCTTTACATCTTCGTAATATCTCTCTTTCTTCTCTTTCTCTTGCTATCTATCTCCTTCTAGTCTTTTATTATTATTATTATTTGAAAGCGTAATTGAATTTTCTTAGATATATTGCAGGATCTGTTATTTTGTTTACATAAGATATTTATAAATTTTCATGTTTATGTACTCTGACGTACCGGGGAACGCAAAAAAGAAGATGGTCACCGCCTTCTTGAAATTACTCGATTCCACGAGTAAAGAGATACCGACTTGAATCCACGAATAATACCAAAAACAACTCAAATCCACGAGTAACGAGAATTAACTCTCAGCAAAGAAATTCTTCATTAATCTTAAAATAAACTTGGTTTAATACAAAGACGAAGATGGCCCTTATATAGGCCGCAAAACTATAACTTTAGGAAATAAATAACTTCAATAAAATAATTGCTAAAATTGTCAGAATGTAGATAAGGAAATATTAATTAAAACTACATATATCAAGAATCGAAAATTGAGCAGTTGGATGACCATATATGGACTCCGAACGGAATTATAGGAATCCAAACTAAATAAGGAAAGTCTGGCTGGTAATGACGCTCATAAACGGAAATTCTTCCTCCGTTCTAGGAATTCTTGGCAAGCCGTTCTACATTTGTCTCCCCTGCTTGAAAAGAACTCGACCTCGAGTTAATTACTTGAGAATACGACGCATTTGGAAGATCGTATTCAAACAAATCAATGACATTGAAAGTAGGAGAGATGGCCATATATGTCAGAAGGTCCACTACATAGGCATTGTCATTGACTTTCTATGGATCGAAAAAGGGCCATATTTCTGGCCTCATAGCTTATTCTGTGTGCTAGTTGGCACCCGCCCTTTGCGCAAATAAACCATCACTAGATCTCCCTCTTAAGATACTTGAGCTTTTCTCCTTTTATTTGCATTTTCCTTGTAGTTGGCATTAGATTCCTCTAACTTTTTTCACACCTCTTCTTGAATGTCCTTGATTTGATCCGCCATATTTTCTGTTGTGATATTCAACCCAGGAAGGTTTGGCAGGGGAAACAAGTCTGAGCTTGGTGTGGAGGGCAACAATAAACAATTTGGAATGGGATCCTCCTAGTAGATCGATTTAGCATGCTATTATAGGCAGATTCAGCTTGGGCAAGAGCAAGATCCCGCTACTTCGACTTCCCTCCTGAAATACAACGAATTAAATTCCCAAAAGTGTGGTTCACCACTTCTATCGGACGGTCGGATTTGAGGGTGACTCGTGCTACTAAAATTTAAAGATGTGTCAAACCGCCTCCATAAAGTTCGCCAAAAATGACTCGAGAATTTGGTGTCCCTATCTGAAGTGATGAATTTGGGAACCCCATGTAAACAAGCAACCTTTTTGAAAAACAAATTTTCCATGTGCACTGCTTCTGAGTTTTTTTTGTAAGAGATAAAGTGAGCCATTTTGGATTCCTTACAACCACCACAAATGCATAATCAAATCCGTGTTGGATTTGTGGAAGTTCTAAGATGAAGTCCATAGAAAGATCTTCCCACAGTGCGGCTAGAATGGGTAAAGGCATATAAAGGCCCATATTTTGGGAGTGTCCTTTGGATGCCTGGCAAATAGGGCATCTTTTGACATGACTCACTCTTTTGTTGTGGCTAATAATACCTCTCTTATGTAAGAGCTATTGTTTTATCATGACTCAAATGTCCACTCAAACCTCAACCATATAATTCGTGAATTATTTGTTCTCGTAGTGAACTCCTGGGGATGCACAATTGGTTGCCTTGAAACTGACAACCCTCTTGAATATCCATTCCGCCAACTGAAGGTTCCAATTAACATTTTTCCCATATATTCTAAAAGTCTTCATCAATTGCGTACGGCTCCTTGAGACATTGAAATCCAATTACTTCTATTTGCATTATGACAAGCAATGTTGCCCTTCTGCTTACAGCATCAACTACCTTGTTGAATTGACCTGCTTTATCCTTCAAGGTGAAAGTGAAGCATTGTATGAACGAATCCAGTGGGCATGCATTCTTTTGGCAGTATTCTTGTTGTTTATAAATTTCAGGGCTTGTCGGTCGCTGAATAAGACAAACTCTCTCTATACTAGATAATGTTCCCAAAGCTTCAACGCACGGAAAACAACATGCAATTCCAATTCATAAGTAGACCACTTATTGGCGAGCTTCACTGAACTTCTTGCTATAAAACACAATCGATCAACCTTCTTGAGAGAGTACATCACCAACGCCAACAATAGAGGCTTCATATTCAACTTGAAATAGCTTGTCAAACTCTGTTAGTTCTAAAATAGGGGCAAGGATAATTTCTTTTTGATCAGCACAAAGCTCTATTCCAATGCCGCTCCCCCATAGAATTTCTTTCCTCATGCATTCTGTAATTGGTGCGACTATCTGGCTGAAATTCCTAACATACAACCGGTAAAAAGTTGCCAATCCATGAAAACTATGAACCTCTTATACAGTTCGTGGAGTTGGCCGCTCATGGGTGGCACGAATATTTTCTTTATCAATCTCAATCCCATCATCACTTATCACAAATCCCAATAATAACAAACCACTAGTCATAAAATTGCACTTCTTGAAATTGTCATCCATCTTGTTTTGCTGCAAAACTTTTAAGAACTCTCAAATGCAACACCTGGTCAGATTGATTCTGGCTATATATTAATATTTCATCAAAATATACTACCACAAATTTTCCAGGGAATGGTTTTAGTACCCAGTTCATGAGTCGCATGAAACTACTGGGCGCGTTGATGAGACCAAATGACATCACTAGCCATTCATACATCTCACCGGCTTCTCTGGTTTCTTTGTTGAATTCGCCCCCATCCATTAGAAATATTGCCTTGCCTGTGGACTTCAACTGATCTATTGAAAATTCTTTCTTTATGGATCCCAATACGATCTTTAACCCTCCCTTTAGAAAAACATATAGGTGTCACAGCCCTTGTATTTAGCATCCACATCAACTGCCATGATCATCCCAAAATCATGTGGCAGGCATCCATTTCTACTACGTCACACACAACCTCATCTACATAACTCTTTCCAATGGAAAAATTAATGCGGCAGATTTCAGTTACCTTCACTTTAGCTCCCCATTTAATCCAGTGATTTTTATACGGTGAAGGGTGTTTCTCGGTTTGTGGGGCCAATTTGCTAAAAGTTGATTTTGACACTATATTCTCGCTGCTGCCACAATCAATAATAACATCGCAAATTATTTTTGTTCACAGTACATCTGGTTTGGAATATATTATGTCGTTGAGATGGTTTGGAATACAGTACATGCGGCTTAAGAATCATTGTTGAATATAGATAGATATCTCGTTCAAGAAAGCAAGATTATATTCTGTAGTTATCTCTCTTGGAGGAAATGATATCATAGAATTTGCTCCTCTGAAATGATACATTATTGCTAGCTTTAAGCTACATTGGCTCTTATTAGTCTCTTAGATTTCTATATAAGCTTTCGAGATTTTTTAGAAAAATATTTCTTTAAAACTTCAATCATTTATTTTATTTAAGAATTTTAATCCTTGATTCACCTTCACACACAAAAAGGTGCTCAAATATAAGCACAAGTAAGACAACAACTTCTCTTGAACAGGGTTCAATCAACTAGCAAAATACATTCGAACATGGTTTGTTGCTTCTGTTGATGGAGAACCACACTTCAATGTACTCACATAGAGACACACCACCGTTGCTAGTCATTTTTGTTGGCTATGTTTAACTACTAGTGGTAGTTGATTGTGGGGTGCTTGTTGTAAAACACTCAATGTTCATCTTTATTATTGTATAATGCTCATGCAGTTTAAGGAAGGTAATGGGATTGTTATTGTTTAACTTGTGTTTTTAGATGTTATGAGTTCAAAATTTTTTACTTTTCTTTTTTACTTTTATTTTTTTATGATTTAAGCTGGAATTTGTGGTAATACTTTTTTAAGGGCAAATTTTTGAGTTAGGAGAATTTTAATTTATGATCTTTAGAGGTTTTGATTTTTTTTTTTTTAATTTCACCATACCTTAATATCATGCATATAGATACTGTTCTTAGAAATTTTAAATTTTACAAAGTTCTATTTAGTATCAACACTTTCAAACAGACGACATCCCTAAACCATGGGACACGAACACAGCTCTGCCACGCCCTGACACATGTTTGACACGACAAAAAACATATTGAAAATTATTTCGGACTCCGACACGTATGTGACATGGCAAACACGACATCGAACATGATTGAATGCGATTTAAGAAAGAAAATGGGATCAAATAAGTAAAAATTTACAATTCAAGAGTAGCTCTAAATTTATCTAATGGTCAAATCAAAGTTGCATTTGCTCTCATTGTATCACGTCAAAGTTCTCTCCAACATTCGTCAAAGTATGCTCCAAAAGTCGTCGAAGCCTAGGGTTGCACAATTAAATATAAGGCAGCATATGTGCATCATCAATACTAGTATATATTGGCCATAATATGAGTTGTCCTGACCTATAGGTTAACATGTCTGGCCTCAGTTGCATTAAATTCGTACAAAACGAGTCATTGTGTTGTCTCTCGACTATGAATGCAATTTTGGTGCTTGAAGAGGTGAGCCATTTGGCATGTTTTTCGTGCTTCTCTTCCTAAGAAATTGAAAGAGAATGATATTTGAATTTATTTGTAGTTTTATTTTATCATGTTTATTTGTTTAAAATAGAAAAAAGTACTAATAAAATAGGTATGCTAAAATAAAATTATTTATCAT